CAGCCAGAAACCCATAGCGCATATTCCCTCATCTGCCTTCAAGAGCGACAGCAACGCGTTCAAGAAACATGTTGAAGTCTTTGATCTGTTTTAGCGTTCCGCCCCCTTCACCCGTCACGCTGACCTGGTTCGCGATCTGAGAAATCAGGAGGTCTAAATTTGCCAGTCCCGCCCTCTTCTGTTCCTTGGGGTTTAGTTCAGGTGCCATCTTGCCGTTTTCGACGGCCAGTTCGATGTCATCCATAGTGGAGGATAGTCCCAGTTGGTGCTAACTACATTAGCAATTATTTGATCCCTTCAAGTAATGAATACTTACTAGCGACTCTGTATTTGCCGTCTCATGTCGCATTCTTACGGCATCGATCTTGAGGTCCACTTGCTCCCTTTCGGCACGGATTCTCAGTATTTCGTTACGGAGGGAGACCTTCTCCTTCTGCGTAGCCCGCACTCGCTTTTTAAGCGTGCGTAGATTATCGAGAGCGATGGTCTAGATGCGTTAGCTTATCAACATTGTTTTTGACTCATGGGAATGCTCGCCTGTGCCTGTAGTCGTGTTCGTAATTCCTCCTGAAACGCTTCCACGGCTCGTAGTTTCGTCCTGTATATCTTCCTGTTCGCTGACCCGTCTGCCTGACTCGCTTCTTCCTGTAATACGGAAAGATACTTATCTATGGACTCCTCGCATATCTGTAGCATGACATCAACGACGTTTGGGGATTTATGGTCGGTAAAAGGTATGTCGGCATTGAGAAGATCCTCATCTGTATCGTTGTCGTTGCGCCGTAGTGGCTTTGTGTATCTCTGAACCGTGACGGGAATAGATTCACCATCACTTTTCCGTCTTGCGGAAGGCTTTTTCTTCTCCTTGGCAGTTTTGGGTTGAGCCTGTTTAACTGGGCTCACTTTCTTCTGCCTTTGGCGTCTTTTCTTAGTTGGTCGTTCCATCGAGGCCATCGGGGAGTTGACATCATCTGCATCACCGGCCATTGTTTTCTGCCGAGGGCTGACTCGAGGCCGTTTGCGACCAATTCGACGGGCGGCTTCATGGTCATCGACTTCCTCAGCTTCTTCATCATCAGCCTCAGCACCTCCTTCTGCCTCTACCTCCACCTCTACCTCTGCTTCAACTTCCGGCCCAACCTCTGGCTCAATATCGGGCTCAACCGTTTCCTCGGCCTGTTGGTTTTCTTCCTCACTCTCGCCAATATCGTAAGGAGATTCAGGAATGATTACCGACTTCTTCCTCACCTGAGGCTTCTTAGGACTAACAGTGCCCGCAGCATCCGGAGGTGAAGAAAGTTCTTCTGCATCGTGGATGAGGATCGTAGGGGTACTTTGGTGATTTTGACTACGCGTAGACCGCACCGACCGCACCGACCGCACCGAGCCCGTCACTGCTGTGGTGTCACTTTTGCGAGAATGGCGTGTGAGCGGTGACGATTCCTGAATTTCCTCTATTGGAGACGACGGTGTTTTCCTCAAGCTTGCTCTTGTAGTCCTTGCGGATAGGGTGCCCACTGTCGCCATGCTCTGCCTACTTTTACGTGCCAATGGTGAAGATGTTGCGACTTCGCCAGTGACCCCTGCTTCCTCTTCTGCCATGACTATCTTTTGCAGCTTCGTGCTCTGGGTCACGGCATCTATCGGTTGAATACGACGGCGACGGCCGCTCCCAGGCGCTGCAACTGGGCTTTCTGTAACCTCTTCCTCGAAGTCCATCATCGACACCTGAGATAATTTTGATGCTGCGGATCCTCGTGACCCGTGTGAAATCCGTCGTAGTGTAGACTCCAGTAGTTGCTCATCGTCGCCTTCGTCCATCGGCTCTCCTCTTGTTGTTGCAACGGCTGGCGAGCCACGATGACTATAATCGTTGCCATTATCCCGGGGAGTGCCGGCCTGGTTTATATTCATTGTGTTCAAGCGGGCCGAAATCCGCTTTGTAGTTGTAGGCGGAGAGTCGGATCGGGGTGAGCCAGACCTCATCACCACGTCCTGCTGTATCGCATTGATCGGGGTGGGTATCTGGCCGCTGCTGAGTCGCGCTGAAGACCTTGTCGCAATGGATGCGCTTGATGGTTGTGAGGCTGCCGATCCAAGCTCATTATCCAGTCGCCGTCGCTTCGCGGATGTATTAGGCTCCGATCGTATTTGAGGCAAGGAAGGGGATGGATCGGGAGAGGTTTCGGCAACGGGCAGCACAAAGCCGAACGAGTCGTCGGCTACTTCATGACGTCTATCGCGGGTATGTTAGAACAGAGAAGCTACAAAAGAACGAAGAATCGTACCCAGCGCCTCGCATGCGCTCCTGCATGCGCTCCTCACGGCCTGGTTATGGCGGGTTAGTGATAACTAAGCTGGTACGGTACAGATTCTGGACTTACTGGTGGCCATGGCGGTGAGGAAAGTAGTCTGTCCTGGTGTCGATAATATAGCACCATTCCTGGACGTTGAATAGAACCAATATCTCCAAATTGCTAACTTTCAGCGAACTGACGTAGTGTACTGTGCTATCTCGTTAAACAGGTAGGTATCTTGAGACGCGTTGTCGATACGCGCCGAGCCCATCCCACCAAAACTGTGGCTGGTGCTATTTAACCTGCTCCACTGCATAACTGTGGCTCAGCCACACTATTATCGCGACCAAGTTGAGTAAGGCTCTTACGTACATCTCTAGTCCCTTCAAGGTTAGCTCATAGGTACCTAATGCTGCAAAACGGAGTGCTCCACATCGGCGGACCAAATAAAGACGGCTGGGTCGACCCCTGTGAACCCATACACGTAACCCAGTATGGAGCTTCCCGCTCAGCTCTAATGACCTCAGACCTGAGAACCCACCACCCGTACTACAGTACAGTAGTTGTCCAGAACACTCCCAACAGGCAGCCAAGTACGGTATACCTATCGCCCGTAACAGCCTCCATCATCTCTCACATGTTATAGTGTATCGCATCGTTTCCTGATGTATGAACCCGATATCTTTCGACCACTATCCTCCATATAGGCCACCTTGAACAGACTCGAATCGCGATAGCTACGCTGGCTTGTACTATCTCGAAAAGATGGGCTGGAACGTGTGTTCACCCTATCGCATAGGTTCCTTTGCGTCGCTGTGTTCTGACTTGTGTGATAGATCTTTCGCATCTTGGGAGACGTGTCCCATCTCCTCTCCAAAGTCATCCTGATATATGCCATCCACCGCAACCGCAGTGCTGAAGGTACCTATAATTCGATGAAAACCAGCCCCGGACGCGTCGTATAAGCTAACCCTCTAACCAGGCGTTTCATGGATTACGCAAGTTCTATACGCCGTCGTGTTCACCTCTAGATATACCGATATATTTACCGAGACGTCAAAATGGAACCTCTTCTTCAAGCTATTCTATATACTCTCCTCCATCTACATAATCGCCATCATGCGCTGGATCTATCCACGAACGAGGGAGCGGGAGATTGCCTGGAAGCTGGGAGCTGGTATTCTCGCCGGCTCTCTACTAATCGCTCCATTTGCAATGCTCATCTTTGAGGGCAAGAAGCAATGGTCTTTCTTCACGGTTCGTACTCCCTCTTATGTACGCTTCTCCGGCTCGCGCCTCATTATGTTCACAGTGGGTTTGGGATTTCTCGCAAATCCTTGAATCGATCTGCGTCTTGCCTCAGCTACTTCTACTCCGACAAACGAACGTCCCGACCGTCATCGACTCTTTCTATCTCATTTCCTTAGGGTCGTATCGCGCTCTCTACTGCATCAACTGGATCTGGAGGGAGCTGGACCCCAACGACCGAAAACCGAACGCCGTGTCCGTCATCTTCGGCATCATCCAGACTGCCCTCTATTTCGATTTCTTCTGGGTGTACTACACGCGACAACGAGTTAAGCTCCGGTACGGTGGCATTGTCGACGCTGATGATATCAGGCGGGGTTGGCTTCTCAACCGTATTTTCGGCAACAAGCACTTCGAAAACGAGCAAGAGGATGAGGAGAGCACCCCAGCTCTAAACGGTGACGACAACGGCAATGCCTCGTCTCAGCGGAGATCGAAGTGGGGTGCCCGGGGCATCTCGATTAGTGCCGATGATGCGACGTTTGAGCATGAAGATCATCACGATGCGGACGATGAGATCTCTGGAGTCGTCGATCCAGATGCTAAGATGAAGGATCCTGATGAGCTAGCACGAGCCCTTGATGATGATGATGATGAGGACGAGGATGACGAGGATGACGGCGCTCCATCGGGATCGAACACAAACTCGAATAAGAATGTGCCACCTGGTGTAAATAACGAGAATGAATGGCGAGACAACTAAAAACCTTGGCATCCTCTGATGTAAGGGAACGATGTATTATTCTGGGGTTTTAACAACTCGGCCCTCCCAAACCGTTACAGGGCTCTTCAACAAATAATTTCATTGCTTGGTTGCATTCGCAATGCAGCCGATAGTTTATTTCCGGTTATTGGGCAAGGAAAGGCGCATGGGAGTCAAGAGTACGAGGGGGACGTGTGTGAACGATAGAACGCAATACTGTATCATACTCAAGAAGTCAGTAATTAATCAATCATATACAACGTACGAGTTTCTTTAGTAGGCAGTGCCCCCAGAACATGTCCTAATAGTTGTTAGGACATAAGATCTGAATGAATCGCCTACTTTGTAATTCAAGATAATCAAAAGGGAATAAAAGCCGAATATCCACCTCATTATGCAGCAGTCGCATCATCCATTATACACCTAACAGCAGCTTTGTCTGTGTCGCCTCCTTTCAGATCTAAGTATGCAGCCGCAGTGACGTTCCTGTAAACTTAACACTACCGGGCCGAATCGGGTCGGTCAGTTGTTTGGAGTATGTACTTAGTTAAGAAGCCATAACAACCTTGGAATATCTCGCCTAAGATACCCGCATAGTAAAGGGAAAGTAGTAAGACCTTACCTACCAAGATATCCCGAAGAAAAAAAGAAACTATAACAAAATCGAAAAAAATTGAAACTTGTAATGTCGTTGACCTCGCTGGGGGTCGAACCCAGAATCTCCTGATTATCGTAAGGAAACCGAACCGGAGTTACGGCTTGTAATCCATCGTAGTCAGACGCCTTGCCATTGGGCCACGAGGCCCGCTCCACATCGACGCTTGATGCGCTTGTGGTGGGCAGATGTTTTGCCGAGGTTTAGTTTTGCATCATATTACTTTCTTGTCACAAACAAAACAAGTACAGGGCGAATAGGCTGCCCGGATTGCAAAATGAGAAGCTGTTTGGCTGGTCTAGTTAGACTGATATAATGAAACTGAATGTAATAGATAATTAACACAGAAAGTAGGCCGAGTAAATGCTTGGATATGGTGGCTTACGTGATGCGATGCGCTGTGTGATGGGACGGTGAGAACCCAGCTTCTAAAGCGTGAAAAGTAGGTAACTATACTACTATATTAAAATAATGTGAAGTTTAAAATATTGCTGATGACGCCGGCGTATTCTCTTTTCATGATTGATAGACTACCTACTCTACTGCCACCAAGTAAATTAGGTACGACAACGCAACGGCCTCGGGACGAGATTACACTTGAGTTTTCATCACGGCGATAGGAAAAGTATATATTGTAGCGCCTACCTACGTACCTTAACCTTACTTGAGAAGTGAGCAACTCGGCGGTGTGGTATGGGGCCCGCTCGACGGATAGGTGTAGGCTGTTGCGTAATCGGACCTCTCATAACGGAATGCACAATCCGAGTAAGTTTTAAAATAGCATCTAGGTTTGGGGCGTCGGTTGTAGAGGTGCGGGTGATGCACGTACTCTACACTGGATTACCTGGTTTGACAGACTTAAACATTCGTGAGAGATGGGTGTCCTCCTGATTAGTAGGACGGCTTGACTGTTATGTCGGAAATAGAATGGTCGGCGTGTGAGTGTGTATTATACTGTGGTGAAGGGAATGTCGAGAATTTTGAGGGAGATATATTTTTACTCGGTGGAGGGCGAGGCCCGGAGCATTTCTCGGTTGGATTGTAAGTCGGATTTCTTAGACGGCCTCTATTACTTTCTTACGAGACATGGCTCTGTCATCAAGATGAAAAGTGTGCGGTGATAATCGATATATATATATATGGAAAATATTGCATTTTCTCCGTAACCACTGGTTTTCTTCGTCAAGTCCGAGTGCAATGTCGTCCTGAATGACAGTGAAGGGGGATCACACGCGAGAATTACACCCGGGACCGCGATCTGCATCGCTATGTAGGCAACGCCGTCGGTGATTTCATCTATTAGAGTGACTCCAAGCGAATCCAGTCTCACATAATGGAAACTTTACGAGAATCTGAGCGTCATGACATATTGTAGATGAGCCATAGGGGCATGTAATACTATCAATATCAATGCAAAATTTAATTCTAAACGCCTAACACCAGAAAACAATACTCAGCCCGATAAACATATTGGTATCTAGCCTGAAACAAAATCCCAACCTCCCAGACATAATCGCCGATTACCATCCTAAGGCAATCGAGCGATCTTCCAATACGCCCTGAGCAAACCGAGTCCACCACTCTGGGTCTCGACGGTGCGTCCGCGGCCGCGATCATTCGGGTCCTCCAGGATCGCCCGCCGCAGCGGCTTTATCGGGGCCTGGCCGTACGGCGAATAGCGCGTGTGCGGGGGTTCGGTAGGCAGGGAGCTGCGCCAGGTCGTGTCGGCCGGCACGCCGTAGTTGCGGTAATCGGTCGCGTTTTCCTGATCGTCGTCGATGTCGTCGCTCGTGAGCGTCGGCCAGGGCCCGACCCAGTCGCCCGTCAGCAGGCCCGCCGTCCACCACTGCCCGAAGCGGCCCGACGCGTCCTGCGTCCTCATGGCGGCGTGCACGTTGTGCTCCAGCCACCCGCCGTAGGCCCGGCAGGCGTCGGCGTGGGACGCCTTGATCGCCGTGAAGGCGTGGACGTGCACCCGTAGTCTGGACTCTGGCGTGGGTGGTTCCAGAGGCGCGCAGAACGTCGTGAGGTGGTGGAAGAAGATCCCCTTGAACGTTTGCAGATCCTGGCTTCCCGTCCCGCTTGCGTCGAGGCGCTCCTCCATGACGCCCAGTCGGCCCAGCCCGTGCCACCGCGGGAGGACTCCGGCTTTGGCGTGCAGGGGGTTGTCGAACGGGCGGTCTAATACGAGGTCGTAACCGGTGGCCTTGATCACCTTTTGGATGAGGTCGTGGCCGTCTGTGAGAAACGAAGATGCGCCCGTGGCGTCCCAGAGCCCGCGCTGTCCCGTCAGGATGACACCTTGGTTGTACGTGTAGACCATCTCGTCGCGGGCATCGCATCGCGTGTTGTTGCTGTTCTCGTCGAGATACCCGCTGATGTGAAAGCCGTCGACGATCAGACCCTGATCATTCGTCATGTTAGAGCTGCGGAGCCAGCGGTAGCCTTCCACGGCCGCCTTCAAGTACCTGGCGTCTCGAGGTCCGCTGTATACCTTCGAGTCAGGGTCATCGGGATTGAATCTATCAGTGCGGTTGTGAAATGGGGATTCATTATCGTCCCCGGGAAAATAGAGGTACATCGATATCGATGCGGCGATGAATAGCTCATTAGTGATAGCGTTTTTGTAGGGTTGTAACTTGGGATTCCAGACCATCCCTCCGCTGCATAGCGTTGTGTCCCACCCGTGCGAGGCGAGGTCCCAGAATACGCGCGCCCTGTGGGCGAATGCGGAGATCCATGCGTTTCCGTGATATGGCTGATTAGGAATAGTTGTGCAACTGTTGAAGACCCCATCAGTGACACCTGGCGTTGCCTCAGACAGGTCTGGATTAACGAAGGCGTAATGTAAGTCGCTATGAGTATTGGTGAATTGAATGGTCTCAAGCCAGCCCAGAACCACCCAGAGAATATCGTCGTAAGCTTCATCTCTAATCGCTAAAGCATCCTGGCCAAAATAATAAGCAAGAGTATGTGCGAAGTAGTTGTCGATTAAGTTGGAAGCTCGTCTCCAATCAGAAGCGCTGTCCCATTTCGAATGCAAAAAGACCAGGTCTTCGGAAATACTCCGAGCCACCCCCGAAACGTGTGTGCCTATCACGGCAGCTGTCCAGTCGATGGCATCGGGCCAGGTTCCAATCCACGGGGCGAAGTATTCCGATTGTGTAACGTTTAGGGCGTTCAGAAGATCGGCGAATACAGTATTATCTGCGACGCGAGCTGGCCTGATTTTGGCAGCACTGTTCACAGAAGCAGGTAGGAAGCTTGTAGGCGCGATCGGGTCGCATAGCCTCTGCTTCTCGAAGAAGATGGGACACCGGTCAGGGAGCGTAAATGCGGTCGCCGTCCATACAAGAAAAATACAAACATATATTGTGGAGATGAACTTCATGATAGCAGCCATCTTAACGATAGATATAAAGACTTTAGGTGAAAGACAGGGGGAACGGGTTGAGGTATCTTGGGAGAATGGGCGAGCTGAAAGTATAGCGATGGGTGACTTGTTCAGGATGAGGGTAATTCGAAGAACTGCCGCAAGAGCTGGCTGACACGTTCAGATTCACCTCGAGACATCAGGACAGACAGGTATTTGGAGTCGCGCAAATACAGTGATAACGAAAGAGCAAGGAGAATGTGTAAGAGAGGTGAACGGAATCTATATTTAAGTCCGGGCAGAAAAAAGAAGAAAAGGCGCCGGCATTTTAAGAAACTCTAATACTCAATCAAACGCAAGCTCGTATAATATAAGATTGAAATAGTCGTTATCGAGGGACGCGCTGAGTTTAACTTCTTACCGGGCCGAGCCGAGATAAAAGTATAAGTGCAGCCACTCAAAGTTTATAACTCACACGATATGTACCTGAAATATCTGGTTGATGGGATGCGGATGGTTACATACTATGTATGCAGACAAGAGATGCCCCGCGCGTTCAAATTGATCTTATTGGTAGCCCTATTTGCTCGCCTGAAGTGTCTACCTACGTTTCGGATCAGCCCCTCGGAGGGTAAGCCGCGCTGATCTTAGCCAGTTTAGACGATGTATGAGGTCAGAGGCTGGCTTTGTGGTTAATGATCAGAGCTCCCATGATCTTCAATGATAGACAATCCCATGCTTGGGATAGAGAGGTCTGTTTACTGTCTCCCTGGGTTATACAATTACAGCTACCCAAAGAGAAATCCGTATGCATGGGCTAATAAGGATTGAATTTACATGTATGTTGATTTAGAATGTGGTAAATCGCAGTCATGAAGAGACGGCGCAAGAAAGGTGCAATATGTTGAATAGAACAATAAAAACTGTGACTTCGGTGATTCCACAGCCATCTGGCTATTCGACAAATAATATATTCCTCCTTAGTATACACCAAGCCCCGGGAGAATGACGAGATGATCATCATGATATGCTCGCTAGAACATGTATTCCTCTAAATTCCGATGGATGTGTTAAGTGTTTAGTCACCTATCGATATTTCCTGGAATCATACATCTTACTTTATAATATAGACTAGTCCTGCCGTTAAGGATGCGCGCCCAGCCCAAGGTTTCACTTCTACTCAGGGAGAAAACCGGTAGTAGCCAGTAAACCTCATCATAGAAAACGTCTCTCGAACTCCCCAAACAACTGGGGGGTAATCTCATCACTACTTAGGCCACGGACCTCCCATAGAACGCCCTTTTTGGCATAATGCTCTAGCAAAGGCTCGCTAGTTTCCTGAAACTTCTGAAAACGCGTCCGATAGATCTTCTCGCTATCATCAGCACGTTGCACGAGTGTTTCGCCCGTGATATCATCACGTCCGGGTATTTTTGGAGCGTTGAATGCGGTATTATATACACGACCTGACGGCTCGTGCACCCACCGCGACGATATGCGCTCCATAACCACCTCAAAGGGGGTCTGGAGAGACACCACCCAGTTAATAGGTACGATGTCGTCCAGCCGCTCGGCCTGGACCGCAGTGCGTGGGAAGCCATCAAGCAGGAACGAGGCCGACGGGTCCTCGGATGCTTGGCGCGACAGAGTTGCGCCTGCGTTTGGATTTGAATCTATACCCGGAATAGGTGATTCCGAAGCCACATCGACTGCAGATGCAGCATCACCCGAGGCAGCGGATGCCAAGGTCATGAAGCTCGGCCGGCCACCCGATAGC